GGGACATGGTCATCAGAACCAATGATATAGAATCAGTTATCAATGGATTTGATACATTGTAACAAGACACACACAGCAACCTCCTCCTATTCACAACATGTACACATCACCAACACTGCCTCCCCAACACACGCACACAGCAACCTCCCCCTATACACAATATATACACATCACCCAACACTGCCTCCTCTACACACACACATCAACCTCCCCTGTACACAATATATACACATCACATCACCCCACACTGACTCCTCAATGCACACACAGCAACCTCCCCCTAACACAACATATACACATCACCCCACACTGCCTCCTCAACAAACACACAACAACCTCCCCCTACACACAATATATAATGAAATCACCCCACTCTGCCTCCTTAACACACACAGCATGCCAAAGCCTGATTACAAAAAGGGGTGGGGCTTATAAGTCGAGAGGTGGAGTAATTGCCATAGAAACATGTATGCCTGGACTGGACAGTTAGTAAGATGAGCACGCCCACCTGCAGCACCAAAACAAAAACTCTGCACCCAGCCTTTTGTGACCCTACTATCGCCCCTGCCCAACATTCTCTACACAACTCTTTTTAGGTGATAGGGGATATAGCCTGAAAAATCTATGCTGGCAGGCACCTGAGATCTAGGCCTAAATAACTTAACTGTTCTTCTGTTCTAATGTCATCACATGTACTATACTGTTGGTGTTTTATTCAACAACTCATTCATCTGATTCATAAGAGTTTCTAAAGTCCATTGGTGTCAAACACACACGCAGGTGTAGCACCTACATACAAATAGCTTAACATCTACATTTACAGTAGTCCTTGAGAACTAAATCAATGGAGCATAACGCATCTTATAGCACTAATTTGTGTAAATAATCAGTAGAATGTCCATTTATCAAATACGAGGCAGTCCAATGTGCGTGACGAATAAGTGGCTGTAGATAGTAAGGTATCGTGGAGAGATAAAGTAAAACCAGTAGCGAATGACGGTTTATTCACATTATTCAAGTTATTATAAGGAAGCATTCTGTTTATGTTAAGAATGTGTACAGTAGTTGTAGATAAGTACTTGTGGCTATTGTTAGTTTTTGCCTAGGAAGCACATGTGTTATAAAGCTTGTAAAGTCATGCTTACTAGATGGGTGAAATTCGATAATGATCAAGTTTAAGGTCAATTCAGCTAGTCTGGACTTCAATTTAAAATTCCATTTGAATTCACTTTAAATTACTCACTTAAGTAAATAATCCTGTTAGTGTCTGCAATACTCCATGCTAGGTAGATATTGTTGAATTTAATATCATGGTTTTTAACTTTAAATTGTAACTTTCCATATCATGGCTTTTAATATAAAATGTAAACATTTAAAAATTATTAAAAATAAAATTCAGTTAATTGTGGGATATGACTCTAGCCTCATTTTATACTTTTATAATCTTAGTTAAGTGCTCGAATTTTAAAAACAAATGAAAATATACCTTTATTATGTTTCACTTTTCAGAAATACATGGTTATGATTATTAGCAGATAGTGTTACCGTATGGCTGGGTTTATTGAAACCCATGTGTTTAATAATTAATATTTTGAAAACAATGCTTCAAGGCATTTTCCACAAAACCAGATTTTTTGTGAATATGTAGCTATTATTGGCTGGCCTGTTCTGGTTTTATGTGTCTCTTAAAGAACAGAAAGTGTATAGTGATTTAGTGTTTTTTTTCTTTTGAAATTCTGGTGAGAATGTGCCAGATGTTGTGTGCTAAATTTTTGTTGAGTTATTAGCTTGGTTTTTGCAAAGATGCTGTTGGACATTTTACTGAATAAATCAGAGCGAGAAATTAGTGACTGCCAGTTTTATTATACAACAGTTTGGAAAATACCTGTCTAATTTGGGAAATGTAATAAGTTGGGGAGATGTTGCAATTGTGAGTGTGGCCAGCTTCCATAGTTATCCCAATCTCGTAACCATTCTCTCTAATTTCAAAATGCTAACCCTAACCTAACCCTAAGATCTCTACCAAATGGTCATTAATTTGATTAAGTTGAAGTGTTCTACAGTCATATTGACCATAAACACATTGGCGGCTGATGCATCAAGAACCTGTTACCCATACATACAATGCATTTTTTCCCCTAACTACCGTATTTAACTTCTGGACTGCACAACAAAGCCATTCATGGATGGGAATAAAAGGAATATTTAAATCTGGCCTCCCAGCAATTTAATAATTTTCAAATTACTTGTAGACCACTGTGTTTTACAACTGGCATGCAGATCTTTGCACACAATATTTTACATGATACTCAGCCACCCTGAAGCAAACCGTAGTACTGAAAATATTATAATTTGTATAAAATATATTTTCCAAAAAATTAATTTCAGGCATTGGATTTTATTCTTGTTTTTCAGATTGGAAAAAATAAAGAAGAGATTGCCACCCTAAAGGCAAATGCCCTTGGGACCAATCAGAGTTTTACAACTCAGATTAGCCAACTCACTGAAAAGGTAAGTACACACTGGAGTGTGTTATCTTTTGTGGAAAATAAGATTTGATACTGTTTGTAGTGTTTCTTACTTTACAATTGTATACTGGGAAGAGACATATGATGCCTGATACGATACATAATACCTCTTATTATGCTTACGGAACAATAAATTCTGATAAACTGATATTCCAGTAAATAAACTTCATGCCAATATAGCCAAATTGAAAGTAGTTGCTAAATCAACTGACTTGTTAGTGAGTCATCCAATAAATTATATTTCAAGACCCAGAGTTTAACATGTTGGGATATTATGCAATATTTCGGTACCAGCTGCGTTGTCAATTGCCTAATGATTTAAGGAAGCTAGAGTAAGGGAATCTGATATAATCTGGCTTGAAATGCAGAATTATCCATTTCAGGCACAAAAGCCGAAAGACATATTGAATGGAGTTTTGCTGATGCCCAAGAAAAGAAGAAAGAGAATTAGTTGTGACTATCTCATATGACCTGAAAGTGGGCCAAGCAGTGAGAAAAAGTAGGAAGAAAAGGCATCAGAGAAATAACTAGTTGGGATAGGCAACCATTGGCACTCCAGATGTTGTGGACTACATCCCTCATAATGCTCTTACACCCATAATGCTGGCAAAGCATCATGGGAGGTGTAGTCCAAAACATCTGCAGTGCCTAAGGTTGCCTATGCCTGAACTAGTGTTTGGTAGTGGAGGGTATGATGAAATTGTGGTTTATGGGATTATAGCCTAACACATCTTGAATTACTAAGGAGTCACCAATCCCTTACAGCAACCTTTTTTACAAACGTCCAGGAGCAGACAATGTTTAATGACATCTGAAGAAAAATACAGTTTATTTTATTAGTGGTTTCTTTTGCAATTTGGACACAGGAACGTGATTTGATTCTGCCTTTTATAGATCTTACAAGTCATATCGCGAAACAATGATATTTCTACAATTCGTTCAAGTATAAAAACACATTTTTTTACATAGATGAAGGCTTAGAAAGGAATAGAATGATATTACCTTGACCTGTGCCACCATTTATGTGTCTTTTAATGTATAATTTAAATATGTTTTATTATTTACAGATTACGGATATTGAAGTCAAAGTTCAAAGTTTACAACAGGTGAGCTGTGAATTCAACTATTCATGAATGTTGAAATGGAGAGATGCACACTGATTATTTATTCCTTGTTAGGTTGTATAGCGTAAAACAGTAGCGGCTAATGCAGTTTTAAGAATTTTACTCTTCCCTTTACATTACAGAGACACTCATACAATACATAGAGCTGAGTACAATACAGAGATAACATATCACAAACAGAGCTGAGAATTTTTTTTTAGATATAATACACAGAGTTGGGCACAACACAAAGATATCTACACAGAGCTGGGTAGACCACGGAGATACCCATACAACAGGTAGAGGTGAGTAAAATACAGAGAAATAACACACAGAGCTGGGCACAGTAAGGAAGTCACAGCCAGGATCACTGTGATGGAGTAGAGATCCTCACACAGTACATGTCCATGTATAATGCTCCAACTATTTCTCTCTCTGTATCTTCCTAGCCCTCTCTTAGCTCTCCCTCTTATCTTCAGTAGTACTCCTGCTATGATAACTTTTGCTTTCTGTTAAATATTGCTGCTGTTATGAAACCTGTCAGCTAGTCCATTAGCTCTCAGCACACATTATGCACATGGGTAGAGCATACAAGATACTGATAGACACAGTATAACCATTGCAGTTGGCAAAATAATTCAGGCACATCCTTTTTAAATTGGGCGGTAATAGCTTTTTGATCCAAGGAGAGAGCTAACTGTCATTCTCGGGTCAAGAATTAGATTTTGTTTCCTAAATTGTTGCAAAATTGGAAGCGCCTTTCAAGTTCAAACTGGGTTTTTTGTCTTTGTTTTGAAGCAACAGCAAAAACAGATGTGAGGAACGCTGAACTTGAGGGGCACATGTCTCTTTTCAGCTGTGTAACTATGTAACTATGTAAATTAATCTGCAGTGGTCATGTGGAGCCAATAAGTAGCTGACATGATTACCAGAATCAACAATCATTACAGATTAAAACAGATTGAAATCAGAATCAGATCAGTACTCAGAGTCACAGTCGCAGTCATGCAGTGTGGAGCTTTACACATTGTCATTGTCACCTCTCCTGTGAGCACTGTAACCCTACCCTCTGGTGTCATGAGCCAATGATGGCTCCTGAATAGATAGGCTAACATGCCTCTGTTCACGGGCAGTTGACTCTGCTGCCCAAATGGCAAATCAAGGAAAATTCCTGAAATTCCTTCTTAAAGGAAACTAGGCATGTGCAAAATGTGTTGAAATAGAGCAGATTTCAAACCAGCCCCATATTTTTGACATGCCTGGATGCTCTCAGGTAAGCTTCTCTAAGCAGCTACCAACGAGGGAGGACAGGCCCTGCAGAACTGAAACATAGTACAGAATTAAAGAGACACTAATTATTTCCACATCTCTCTGCCCCTGCCCTTCCCTCCCTTTGTGGTCTCTCCTCACCCCTCCCTTAGTGGTCTCTTCCCACCCACCTCTCCCTCCCATAGAGGTCTCTCATCCACCCCATAGAGGTCTCTCCTCCACCTCTCTCCCTCCCATGGTGGTCACTCCCCCACCCCATTCCTCAGTGGTCTCACTCCCCATTCTCCTCACCCCCCTCTTCTACCCGGTGTAGCGTGGCTGAGCTCCGGTCTGGTACGCGGTACAGAAGTTTCTGTTTCCTGTACCCGGCCGGACTGACAGGAAGTGCTGTACAGGAATGGATGTTCCCGTACTGCGGAACGGAGCTCGGTCACGCTACACTGAGGGACTGGCAGGAGGGAGCACTGTGCGCTTCCTTCCTGCTGATCCCTCATATCTTGCGCCCCCAGGCCGGTGCGCCCTCATGGACGCACCGGGCCCGGGCAGTGCTGCAGCCGCCTTAGTCTCTCTATAGAGCGCTCAGGCGGCTGCAGCATGAGGGGGCCCGGCACTCCTGGCGACTGCCTAAGTCGCTTGTAGGAAGCGCCGGCTCTGATAAGTAGTAATATTTACACAAAAGTTTGATTTACATAATGGAAGGTGTATATTTTAAAAGTGGTGCCTTTTGAGAGGCGTTATTTAAATGTCAAAACAAAATTAACGAGAACACTGAGATCTGGCTGAAATTTCTCTTTGTTTACCCTGACATATGTCCCATACTGGTTTTAGCTTACATATGTCATTACAGAAGGAATTTATACCCATATGATCCATTAGAAAAAAAGTCTGTTAAAGTAAGCTTGGCATTTGAATGGATTTAATAGTTGGGCAGTAAGTTATGGCTGGAGTTTATGGGTTGGGGAGGGTGAGGAGGTGTTAAACTTTAGAATATATGTTTGGGCATAGAGTTATGGTTGTGGGGTTTAGCATTAAGGGAAACCAGAGTTTAGGGGTAATTGCCTTCAAGATGCTACAGACTGTAACTCACATGAGTCTCAGCCAGGCAAATGTGATAGAAGATACAGTCCATAGCACTTTGTAGGCAGGTAGCCCCTAAGCTCCCTAACCCTAAGTCTCCCTAGCCCTAAGTCCCCCTAACCCTAAATCCCCCTTAACCTACAGCATCGTGTATTCTGTGTCCTTACAGCATTGAGTATAGCAGTGTATCCTGTACTGTAATGTTTCCTGTACTGTAATAGTTTCCATTATAAACTGTTCTATAGGGGCAGCATGTGCTATTTATTATGACAATATTAGAGGATCGTTATAATGAACTGCAACATTTCCATTTTAACATAATTCAAGTTTTTAGTTTGAACAGATAATTTAAATGTTATCATTAATATTTTATTACAGGCCATTAACAGAAAGTCATGCAGCAGCAACCCATGCCAGAACACTGGGACTTGTATCGATCTCTTGGATTCCTTCTTATGTCTTTGTACAAGTAGATGGCAGGTAAGATGTTTAGAATGTTATTTTACAATTCATTCTTATTCTAGGAGAAATAGAAACAGCAAGGTGAGACTTTTACTCAAAACAACCCAAAACTTTAAATACAGCAGCATTGGAAACATACTTGGCAATATGGTAAACATTATAAAAGGAGAAATTTGCAGTAAAATACATCTTTACCTGTTCGTACAGATTTACCTGTTAGTACAGATTTACTTGTTAGTACAGATTTACTTGTTAGTACAGATTTACCTGTTCGTACAGATTTAGCTGTTAGTACAGATTTACTTGTTCGTACAGATTTACCTGTTAGTACAGATTCACCTGTTCGTACAGATTTACTTGTTAGTACAGATTTACCTGTTCGTACAGATTTACTTGTTAGTACAGATTTACCTGTTAGTACAGATTTACTTGTTAGTACAGCTAAAATAACAGTTAAAGTTAATGTAAAATAAAAATTTTCTACAATATATATAAAACATACTACAAGATTGGCTAAAATGGTTTACTGTTGAAATAACAGCCAGAAGATTTAAAAAATGTGAATTAAAAATATAACTTGCGCCAAAAAGGGAAAAATACAGATTGTAACAAAAATGTTGCTAAAAAGTATGTTATGCAGTGTCAGCATCGTCCTAAACAAAACACGATCCCAAATCGTAACCCTAAACCAAACCCTAGTCCTCTTGTTTACCCAACGAGTGTATGACATGCGTGTTTTTCATTGCGGCAACATTTTCTTCACAGAGATAAATTTTGATCCATGATTTGTGAAATGTTTCACTCTCCTATTCACCCATTCTAATTTTTCCTGTAAGATTGTAAACTGATACAAATTATAAAGTGCTACTAGTTTGAATTTGACGGAGGAGATACCATTGTATTTTTTTGGAAACACACTCAGACACTCACTTTTCTTTTGCTGAGCTCACATAAATATGGTATACAAAATGCACAATACTATTTTTAGTGAAATAGTGCCTGCTGGTAAATTAAACAAAGATTCCCAAAGGGGATTAGAATTGGTACTTTCAAACAGAAAATAATTTAGAAGGGATCCTCAGGACTTCCAATTAATCAAGAAGGTCAGCAGGAACCCATTCAATTGAAATTCAAAGTGCTTTGGCAGCCTCGTCAAGCACCTCAACCCACTTGCTGTGATCATGGGGTAAACGAACCACCAACTTTTACTTTCACAGAGAACGCTATCGTTCTTTATCCTATTTCCCACTGACAAAGGGTTTTGAATGCAAAGTTGAAAGAGTGAGTAGTTAGAGAGATTTCCTTATTTAGGATGTAGATAGAACTACTGGATAAATTCACAGAAATCTGTTATCTGAATATGAGATAAATACACAGACTCTCGTAACCGTTATTTAACGGGGCCTGCCTTGCGATTCAGCAAAGGTCACAGCTGGTTTACAAACATTTATCATTCACTGGACACCTTTCATATAACCGTGACACACATGCACTAAAGTTATATTCCTGGATCTTACCAAATTTTTAACCTGAAGATCAAGGGATCCAAGGGCTTGGTCACTTGTACCCCTTCTTTTGTTGAAATGCATCTGATTATCATTTTTGTCCCTGGAGTTATTATTTATGTAACAAGCGTAAATATAGATTGTAAAAACTGGGGACCCAGACAGTGACAGATATATTGAACCAAAATAATTGTTTTGGAGACACTGCATGTCTTATCACTGGATTGTTTAATATTTGCCAAACACAAACATTTTTATATACACATCTAGCACTAAGAACAGAAATGAATGACATAATGGAAAACATTTTCAGCTGATATTGTCCTGATAGATTTGAGGATTGTATATTTTTTATGAGGATTTATCTTTTCCTTTACATTACCCCATGCATATCACATGTAGGAAAGGCCTGTGGGTCTTCCCATCAAAATATGTCATGCCTTACAGCAAATCCTGCCCTCTATACCATGCAACACGAATATCACATTATACTTATTGTTTTCACATGGTTTAACATTCAACACTCTCGCAACAGTGTAGCCATTGCCACCAATGATGGACACATCAAAACAATTCTAGATAGAATTCTCACCAGTGATCATGCAGCTGAAAATATTTGCTGTTATTGTTAACACGCAATTCCCATATTGGTTCCATGAATTTACTTTTTTTATTTTCTTTTAAACTAATATGAAATAGGAGAATGAGTGCCTATTAAAAATAATATATATATATATATATATATATATATATATATATATATATATACATAAGCAATATATAAGTGTTAGTTTATTATTTAAGGGTTAGGAATACTCTAATTGATTATATCTTTAAACATTATTAAACTTTTTAAAAAAATATGAAATCTGTGTCGTACCAACAAATTTCGCATAGCAAACTATGAGATTTGATAAATATATTGTCACGGCTGCTAGTGTGGTCCAACACGCAGAAACTATGTAAACCTATACATAAAAAAGGAAAGGAAATAAAAGGACAGAGCGTAAACCGGACCTTAGAATGGCCGGACTAATATGCTAGAGATAGAGAATGGTCAAAGGGAAAGCCGAGGTCAAGGAATCCAGAAATACTCAGAAAGCGTTTAAACAAGCCAAGTCAGGGGAACCAGAATTCAGAATAACCAGGGAAAAGCCAAGATCAGGATACCAGGAAGTCAGATTCATAAAGATAAACGCACTCTAGGGAACCAGGAACAGGAAACCACGACAGGGCAAGGAACTGGAGTGAATTAGGGATTGGTGACCTCTGACCCCAGAACGTGCACTGACGTTGTGACGTCACGCGCACGTCCGTATAAATTTGAGGGGCAGAGCTTGTGGTGTGCGTGACTACGTGGTCAGCGCCATCTTTGATTTGGGCGCAAAGCCCAGAAGACGCGTAGGAGCGGTTCCTGGCTCGCCGGCAAGCAGGTAAGCTCGCAATATCGGCGAGGTCGTGCCACAACAGTACCCCCCACTCAAATACCGCTCACCAGATGGGAAGGAGCCGGCTTATGAGGGAAGCAGTTGTGAAACGACCGGATAAGACGGGGCGCATGAACCTGGTCAGCAGGAACCTAACAACGTTCCTCAGGACCATATCCTTTCCAGTCAACTAGATAAGACAACATCCCCCTGGAGATTTTGGAGTCCAATATAGAACAAACTCCATACTCCTCCTGATCACCCACTACCAAGGGCGGAGGAGGGGCAGCCACTTTAGTGTATCGATTGTAAGTAAGAGGCTTAAGCATGGACACATGAAATTAATTGGCAATTCTCATGTGAGCAGGAAGTGCCAATGAATAAGTCACAGGGATGATACGACGGAGGACCCGAAAAGGACCTATGTACCGAGGGGCAAATTTCATGGAAGGAACCTTAAGTTTGACATGACGTGTGGATAACCACACCTTGTCTCCTGGTTGATAGACAGGATTGGCACCCCGTCTCTTGTCAGCTTGGCTTTTAGCATGTTTTGATTCCTTCTGTAGTGCTGTATGAACGGAATCCCAAGTGTCATGAATAGAATCCAAACGGGTGTTCAAGGCAGGAATATCAGTGTCTGAAAATTCAGAAGGTAAAACAGTGGGGTGATAACCCTGATTTACAAAAAATGGACTATGATTAGAGGATTCATGAGTCGCATTATTTCTGGCAAACTCAGCCATGGGTAAGAGTTCGTACCAGTTAGACTGACTGGCATCGATAAAACAACGTAAATAAGATTCTAAAGACTGATTGGCCCTCTCTGCTGCGCCATTAGTCTGAGGGTAATACGCTGAGGAAAATGAAAGTTCTATACCCAATTGCTTACAAAAGGCACGCCAGAACCTAGAAATAAATTGGGTACCTCTGTCAGATACTATGTTTTTTGGCACTCCATGTAACCAAAAGATCTCTTTCAAAAATATTTGTACAAGATCTTGAGCAGATGGTAATTTTTTAAGAGGTACAAAATGTGCCATTTTCCAGAATCTATCTATGACCATAAGGATTGTGTTAAATCTGTTTGAACTGAGCAGATCGACCATGAAATCCATGGCTAAATGGGTCCATGGAGCATTAGGTATAGGCAGTGGTTGTAGCAACCCAGGAGGAGATTTGTGAGAGGCTTTAGAAACGTCATATATTTGACATGCCACTACATAATCTTTGATGTCGTTCCTAAGTGTAGGCCACCAGAACCTCCTGGAGATAGCAGAGAGGGTTTTATGGACTCCAGGATGAACTGCTGTCAAATTATCATGGAATAATCCAAGTACCTTTTTCCTAAATGGTAGTGAAACGTACAGTTTGTCCGGAGGTCTCTCCACGGGTGCCTGAGTTTGATCTTCTATTATGGCACAGAAGAGTGCAGAAGACACTTCGGAAATTGTAGTGGCAATAAGGCATTCTGGAGGTATAATAGGGAATACCTCTTGTTCAAGAACCTCATCTGTCTCAAACTGCCTAGACAGCGCATCTGCCTTGGTGTTCTTGGTTCCTGGCCTGTACGTAATTACAAAATTGATTCGGGAGAGGAACAATGGCCATCTAGCCTGATGAGAGGACAATCTCTTAGCGCCCCCAATATAATCGGTAAAAATCAGAAGTGGCTCTTTGGAACCTTCTAAGAGATGCCTCCATTCTTTAAGGGCAAGTACATTGGCCAATAACTCCCTATTCCCAATGTCATAATTTTTCTCAGCAGATGTTAGTTTTCGAGAGAAAAACCCACAGGGATGTAAAGGCGCATCAAACTGGCATTTCTCCAGCTAACAGTAGAGGCCGTTCTTTAACAGGGTTTTAAGTACTGTTCTCACATGTTCGTGATGTGTCTCTACGTCTGGGGAATAGATGAGAATGTCGTCAAGATACACTAAAACGAACATGTGGAGATATTCTCTAAGGACATCGTTAATGAAATCCTGAAACACCGCTGGGGCATTGCACAGTCCAAACGGCATAACTAGGTATTCGTAATGTCCCATTCTCGTATTAAATGCGGTTATCCACTCATGCCCTTCCTTAATTCTGACTAGGTTGTAAGCACTTCTGAGGTCGAGCTTAGTGAAGACTCGGGCCCCTTTCAACCTATCGAATAACTCAGAAATAAGGGGAATGGGATAGGCGTTTTTATTGTTATTCTATTCAAACCCCTATAGCCTCCAGATGGGCAGTTCTCTGGAGCAAGGTCTGGAATGCTTGGGCAAACTGATCTAAACTGTGGTCCATATCCTCCACCCTACTCTCACAGGCAATCATATGTTTGCATAGTTCCACAGGATCCATGGCCCTGTCGTAATGTCACGGCTGCTAGTGTGGTCCAACACGCAGAAACTATGTAAACATATACATAAAAAAGGAAAGGAAATAAAAGGACAGAGCCTAAACCGGACCTTAGAATGGCCGGACTAATACGCTAGAGATAGAGAATGGTCAAAGGGAAAGCCGAGGTCAAGGAAGCCAGAAATACTCAGATACCGTTTAAACAAGCCAAGTCAGGGGAACCAGAATTCGGAATAACCAGGGGAAAGCCAAGATCAGGATACCAGGAAGTCAGATTTACAAAGATAAACGCACTCTCGGGAACCAGGAACAGGAAACCACGACAGGGCAAGGAACTGGAGTGAATTAGGGATTTAAATATCCCTCTCTGGGCTCTGATTGGTCAGAGGGTGACCTCTGACCCCAGAACGTGCGTGTGCGTTGATGTCGTGACGTCACGCGCACGTCCATATAAATATGAGGGTCGGAGCTTGTGGTGTGCGCGACCACGTGGTGAGCGCCATCTTTGATTTGGGCGCAACGCCTAGAAGACACGGAGGAGCGGTTCCCGGCTCGCCGGGGAGCAGGGAAGCTCGCAATATCGGCGAGGTCGTGCCGGATGAGGCACGGCTGCGCCATGCAGCGGGCCGGGAGCCGCAACATATATATGTCCATGTCTGCTAATTAGGAAAGGAGAATCCTGTGTAAATAGGGGCATTTGTGTTTAAAGGTTTTTAGGCTTAGATTCCCCCGCACCCTACCCCTCCAATTTATAGAAAATTATTGGTTTAGTTGATCAACCAGTTGTCAAGACTTCTCGTTGACACTGAGGGTGTTGTTAAACTACTTTTCCTTAATTTCCAGGAAATATAGTCCAGCAGTTTAAGGAACAGAGACAAACGTGGACTTGTGCAAAAATATGTTTTAGTTGGTTCATCAATCAGATTCCTTTAATACATATCCAAACGAAATGTTTCACCCGGGATTTACCTATAGAGTATTTTCCATTTAATAAGACTCCACAGGTAAATCATGGACACATTTGCATAAACAGAACACATTTTCACACATATCTAGTCTGGTGGACCTCACTGGTGTCCATTGTGAGTTAATGGTTAAATATCTTCTTGTAGGAACATCTGAGTATAAACACGTCTCCAATATTCTCGTTAACCCAATGCTATTTACTGTTCTCATGTGTAGCTGGCCATGATACAGTGTATCTACTGCTTGGCAGTAATCATGTAAAGTCCAAAACTCATCCATTATAAAGATCTCCTCTCAGCTACACTACTTTCCCTTTGCATTACCCCATATGCATATCACATACACAAATGAATATACAGTATAAGACACTGCTGAAATACAATGCTGTCATCTAATTTATTTAAGCATATAGAAAGTAAATAGGTCAACATTAACATTATCGCTAGTTGGTAAAGAGATGTTTTGGTTAGACCTTTTACACTGATGTAAGATTGGATCTTTTCTGGAAGTCTTGTGGAAGGTTATTCCACTGTTGTGTGCTTGACCAATTTCTAGTTGTAATACTGTCAGTTCAATTCTATAGCACAAATAATAACATTTTCCTGTACATATTGCTATGCATAATGTTAATTAAGATATATATTTTTTAAGTAATTTTTTTAACCCCTTAAGGACACTTGACATGTGTGACATGTCATGATTCTCTTTTATTCCAGATGTTTGGTCCTTAAGGGGTTAAACGATTTTTTTTTCATTTTTCATTTTAAGGGATCCATCTGTGCAGAAGATGTCAATGAATGCCAACTCTATGATGGTACTGCACTGGGTTGTCATAACCAAGGACTATGTATGAATACACCCGGAAGTTACAGGTAATCTCTATGACAATATACTTTGTCATACTTACACACTCTACGTGTCTGTTCAACTCATCTTGATGGATCTTGAGACCAAGTATTAAGTATTAATTAAAATGTTAATTATAAAAAAAATTTACATCCATAAGACAAACTAAAATGTAATTATCATAAATTTCAGGAAAAGTCAAGTTTAAAACAATGCTTATGTTTTCATGCACTTGAGGAAGGGAATTAAAATTTTAAAAATGTGCAATTATTTGTTTTTCAAAATTATATCATACATAGTAAACTATATTGGTTATGGTGCCAGGAGTCCCCTGGTACTGTCCCGGCATATTCTGGCAAACCATTTTAGCATTGCCTGACACTCAGGCATCGGCGCTGTTTCCGGTTCCTTCTAGTAGTTGTTTCAACTCCACCTGCTTTCAGTAAATGAGCAAAACGAGAGGGTACTGTTTAGTGGAAACCTTCAAACACAATGTTGTATTTTACCTCCTTTTTCTTTCTGTATCTCTATGCCTTGGTTTATAAACATTGTTATTTTTAACTATAATAAAAAAAGTAAAAAATATAACCTTTATGTGAATTTGAAACTCAAAGTAGAAATGCTTTTAATCTTAACTAATCTTAAAGAGGCACTTTGGGCACCATAACAAATGTCCTGGCCGTATACTTTACTTTAAAGGTTAAACTGTTAATGAACAGTTAACGAACCCCAAAGTCTTCAATACTTAAAGGCTGAGGGCATCAGCTGACGCTCTAAACCTATCAGTGCCGCCCTGTTTGAGGCTTCATGATGGAAGTCTTGGACCGGAATGGAAGTAAAAGGGCAGAGCTATCAGGCATCAGATCTAATACTCTGGAGTCAAACCATTTGTTGATGGTTTTTAAACCCTTATGGTAACATGCTCCCAGGACCAGCTTGCACCACAACAACTTCATTCAAATGGATCTGTTATGGTGCTCAAAGTGTTCCTTTAAATTGCTACAATGCACAGGAACACTTTAAGCACCACAAGAAAAACAAAATATTAGTATCAATTATATATAAAAGATTTTTTTCGGCACTATTATTCAACAATAGCAATAAAACAATATAAATGAACAGTGTGATACATTTTGCGTAATAATAGAAAAATAGGGAAATGGTGACTGGCAAAGCACGTGATGTCATGAGTATCCAAACACGTGTTTCCCTTTTCTAAGAAAAAAGTAACAGGTCTCCAGCACATGATAATTATTGGAGATTAGAAAAAGATTCAGCTCAATATTTAATAGTATATCTACAATAAGAAAGTCTACTGCTAAGTAGTAAATTCAGTAATCCAAGTGGAATTAATATTACAGGACCGCGTTTCGGTTACTTTCCAAACCCTTACTTACCCTAGTTTGTGCAGAGAGAAGATATACCTGATCTTAAGGGTTTAATTAATGATTCACTGGTCATAATTTCTAGCTGTTCCTGTCTGCCTGAATGGTATGGTCCACAATGTACCTCAAGGTATGATGACTGCAAAGTGGATTCGGGTGATCTTTGTATACATGGCATCTGTGTAGATTTAGATCGAACTCAGTTAAATCAGGTAAGCTAATGTTGCCTTCTGGTAAATCCAAAAAGTAGATCCCCAGATGTTTTCAAACTACAGCTTCCATGATGCTTTGTCATTTAGGAGCATTGTAAAGGAATGCAAAACATCATGGGAGTTGTAGTTCTCCAACATCTGGGGATCTACCTTTTAAATCTCACTTTAAAACTAAAACGTTTATTATCAATATAACATTGTGAGTCTCAAGTTGATGGTATATTGAGTGGGAACCTAGAACTGAATTCACAATGCAGTACAAGACTTGCTGGCGTCAGCACCAACTTTATGTAGACAAGCACAATCATTCGCAGGTTGAGAACTTGGAAATCAGTGGCCACTTGGACATTGCTGATGGCCAATATGTAGAAAAAAAATGGCAGAACCAGACTAGGCATTGGACTGCATCAAGCATTTCCTCCTAGTTTAAGAAAGGGCAAGCTCGGATATATGTTTATCTGTGTGGCATGAAAAGAAGAGAAGACACACAGAAGTTAAGCTTGGGAAGGACGTCTTAAATGGCAAGGGAAAGTGAAGGAATAAAAAGTTGAGTGAAAAATATTAGGGACATATTAGGAAATAATGCAAAAGGATGAGAGACAAAGGCAAGGGAGAAAGAGACTGGATGTACCCAGTAATAGTCTTACACTGGGTTCCCTGACTGTTATAGACCACAGCTGGTGCTGAGAATGAAATATAGGTAAACCTTATAGCCTGACCATACATAACACATTAGTATTATTATTGTGACCAATATGGACTTTTAACAATATGCAAATGAGATTCAAATAGACACTATAGTCACCAGAACAACTACAGCTTATTGAATTTGTTCTGGTGAGTAGAATCATTACCTTCAGTCCTTTTGCTGTAAACACTGTCTTTTCAGAGAAAATGCAGTGTTTACATTATAGCCTAGTGATAACTTCACTGGCCACTCCTTAGATGGCTGTTAAAGATCCTTCCTCGGTCATGGCTGCCTAAAATGCATCCAAATATTCAGTATCTCCTCCCTGTGCATGCAGACACTGAACTTTCCTCATAGAGATTCATTGATTCAATTCATCTCTATGAGGAGATACTGATTGGCTGGGGCTGTGTTTGAATCATGCTGGCTCTTCCCCTGATCTGCCTCTTTGTCAGTCTCAACCAATCCTATGGGGAAGCACTGTGAGTGGATCAGGCTACCAGAGGTACAGCTTCAGGCTTGAATACAGTAAGATTTTGCTATATTTATGGAGGCATGAGGGAGCCAGGGGGGCTAGATGGTGGTTTTAACACTATAGGGTCAGGAATACATGTTTGTGTTCCTGACCCTATAGCGATCCTTTAATGAATGCAAACAATGCATTTACCTGATAGCGAATGTTTATATGATATAAACACACACACTGTACATAATATAATTTAGTAGGATTCTAGAGATTTCATTGAAAAAGCTAACTATTGTCCCCTCCCCCTTTTAGTCATCTTAGTGCCAGATTACTTGTATGTTAACAAATTTTATGTACTCTTTCTATTTATAACTTGGCATTGCTGTTGGCAGCCCAAATTCCGATGTATCTGTGAATCAGGATGGATGTCGCCTCCTGGGAGTTCAGTCTGTAGTGCCGATATCAATGAATGCTTGCTTCCCAACTCTCCCTGCTCCCAGAATCCTCCGGTACAGTGCTTTAACACACCAGGATCTTTCACGTGTGGCACATGTCCAGAAGGTATATTTCTTATTCACATCCTGTAAAAATTCTGCATATCTATCAGAGGCTGCTTTTTGTTCCTATAATGATCCATGCACTCATTTTTAATGTATATTCTAAATATAAACTATGTATGTGTACTCTATGTTTGTAGAGATGAAAATAATAAAAATAATAATTTTGAAACAAGAAATCTGCATTAACTCTGACCTGTAATGATTGGGCTAGTTATCTCTTTAACTGTGTCGTTGATTAGAGACATTTTTAAAGATACATGCTTACTGCGCTTAATTCACTATTCCATTACAGCTTTTCCAAAAGTGCCTGGGTTTTACACTTTTTTACATTATTAGGGGTGGTCTATGTGAATTATCATATACATGTACACTGACCAGCCACACTGACCTGCCTAATATCTTGTCCGGCTCGTGCTACAGAAAAGCTCTGATGAGTCAGGGCATGGATTTCACAAGACCTCTGAACGTGTCCTGTGATCTCTGGCACCAAGACATTAGCAGCAGATCTTTTAAAGGAACACTACAGTGTAAGGAAAACAAACATGTATTCCTAACATTATAGTGCTTGAATACATTTTTAGGGACCACCCCCCTCTCTGTAGAGTGCAAAGGTGTTAAACTTACCTTTTCTCCACCGCCACGACGGTCTCGCCACAGCTGGCCCCATCTTTTCACTGTTGAGATCATCAACTTGATGATCTTAGTTAATCAAATGAAAACGTGACCATATAGTCATTGTTTTTTATTAAACTTAGAGATTTAGGTAGAAAAAAAAATACTCATGTCCATCAAGTTCAACCTTTATTACAATTCATTTTTTTCGGTTCATCTAGAAAAAGCAAAAAATACAAAAAAACTAATTTTGAAGAAATTGTCAATTTGCCACAGGCAAAAGGGAAGGAAATTCCTTCTAAACTTCATAGTGGTAATCAGACCCATTGGATTAACAACCTTCTCCTACGTATATATCTTCAAGTGATCTAGGTTTGACTTTAATTAAAATTTATAACCAAATAGAATAACAACATTCAGATCCCTTGCTCTCAATGAAAGAGGTTAGAAAGTATTGAGTCACTAGATTGTTGAATCAGTTTTTGATGGAATTTAATTTTTACCATGTGTTGTGTCTTCAAGGCTGGCAAGGAAATGGCTACAGTTGCCAAGACATCAATGAATGTGATACAAATAACGGGGGTTGCTCGGTGTCTCCACCTGTCAAATGTATGAATACTATGGGATCCTTTCACTGCGGTCCTTGCCCACCAGGTAAAACACTCTGGATGAAAGAAGAATGCAAAAACTGTAGTTATTCGTGCAGGTGCTAAACATACCGTATTGTGATATTGTGTGAGATTGATTAACGGTTTTGAAAAATGGGTGTATTGAAATATGTTTTATTTAAGAATTCCAAACTATTGGTCATCTTGGGTAGTTTATTAAAAAAAAAAAAAATTATTGAGCAATTTTGTAAAATTTTAACAATCCCAATGAAATCCAATGGAATATTTATTTTTATTGCTCAACTTTAAACACTTTTTCCTAGAATTCTGCTTTGTTATTCCCCATGTCTCTCAGAAAAACCTCAGCTGGTTTTATTTCCTTTAGATTATAGCATAACTATCTAATGTAAAGTCATTTCCCTTTACTTCAAAGACAATCAAACAGGTCTTCTGGATGAACAACTGATTGGAGCTTGTTTTGTTACTAGTCTGGCAATTTAGAAAAACCAATAGGAAAGATAATGATTAGTTCCTACTGTGGACCAGTGGGCAAACTCTGGAACTGTGCTTTTTGGCAAGTCCCGAAGACTATAGGTTAGAAACTGTGTCTCCTTTGAACAAATCACATGGTAAAACACGTCTATTCTCCTTGGAAAACTCTACTTGCTGTTGGTGATTTGTCCTTCTGCACATGAACAATAAGGTGTTTTGAATAGGCATATAAGCCGTGCACCAGAATAGTTCTTCTAAAGGACAATCTCAGGAAATGAGGATATTCTGAAGCAGATTCCTTTGCTCCAGAGCTTCCTAACACCTTACTTAAGTCAACGCAGCTGTGGAAGTTTACAGGAAGTTCTCATATGCTTACAGATTGACCTATCGAAATAATAAAAACATTATCTGGGGGATTTTTAAGACATACTATAGAGCCCAAACTGATGAGTGCATTTTGAGTACTGAATTTGTGAGCCCTGTCCTTTCAGTGTGAATGTTAGGGCTGCTCCAAATTTGCATTGCTGTTTTTGCAAACAAAATGATCAAAATGTAATAGTCATCCATTAATGGTGTGATTGAAAGGTCAGCTTATTGGGTTACTTTGTGTTGGCAATGAATGGATTAAAGGAAAATCATCAATGTTTGGGTTTTTTTTTTTTTAAATTTAAAAAATGTTTATTTAGATAAGGCAATTGCAGGAAAATATAATCATTAATCGAATCAGTAATAAAGTGTAATGTCAGTTTTTGTTTGAAAAAGGTATCAGCAGAATAGTATGACAAAAGAATGTCAGACATACGTAAGTAAAAGTGTAGTACAGGCAAAACCCAGCGCAAATGGATGATGAAAACAGATTGTAGATAAAATTTCACCAATGCCAGGTATTATATCTCTCTCTATGTAAAAAAGGAACATCATTTATAAGGTAATACAAAAGAAAATAGAGTTCCCAGCTTGACCAGCAGATGAGCACAGACCAGCACCATGTTTCAGACTTCATACATTTCTGCAGATACCCTTAGGAATGGACACTGTTTTAAACACAGCTCTTTAAAACGAAAGCTTGGGGCCGTGATCCAAAAGATTCAGTTACCAGAAACCAGTCACGGACTGCAGTTTCGACCTTGTGGGTCAAATCAGCATGCCACCGGTTCCGGTCTGGAATTGGAAGTCAAGCTTGGAACTCTGCGATAGTTATGGAAACATGACTTCTTACGTTTCTTATGCCCACGAAAAACATCTTCTCTAGTCCAACTTAAGATATGAAAGTGATGTTTAACAGTAATATACAGATATATACATACATACACTTTATTAAAATGATAATATTCATAATTACATACCATTCGATGAAAACAAAAACATTGAAAAAAATATTTAATCTGTAGATGTTCAAGTACAATTTTGCATGCCAGAAACAGTTGAACATCACAATGCTGTATTCGCCAGAAAGGAGTCTCTTGTATCTTGTTGAAATATAAACATATCATTGGCTTCAGTGAAAAAGTAAATAACTGAATTTCTGCCAATCACAATGTATGTTTTGGCTTTAATTCCCATGTTTATGTAAATGACCTGTTTGAAGGTTTTAAACCAGTATCAGAATTTGGACTTTGAAGCAGCTTTTCTAAGAGTTTATGACTATTATTCTGATCTTCAACCTGCTGGCTACATCCAGACACGATCCCTTGACAGAGAACACAAGGTTACAGAAAGTAAATTAAACAACATGAAAAAATGATCTAAAACATGTTTTTTTCTGTTTCATAAAATTGAAAGAGCTGCTTGTGGTGAGCTTACCGACGACAAACTTAAATTTAAAATTTGAATAACTAAATGTTTGAGAAATTATGTGTTCCGTTCCAGCCTTGGCTTATTCCATCATCTGCCTAGTTTATGCATTTTGCAGTAAATGCTCCACTATATCTAGACATGTCTGTAGAACTAATATAGGCCTCAATTTAATATTTTTGGATAAGCTTTTCAAATGATTTAATATTTTTGAAGAATGCTCTTATATTTTAATTGTAATATATTTTTTTATATATGATATATTTTTTAGATTTTTCTCAAATTTTGAAAAAAAAATAGTTTAAAAGTTTATCCAAAAATATTATATAAAAGCCATAATTCATGTTAGTAGAAAGTCCTTCACATCCAGCATGTGCTTTACAGATGCCAATTTGATTTTTTTAGGGTGGGCTAGAGCACTTAAATTGTTGGGATCCACAGGAACTAAGAAATAAAATCTAAACTTGGTCCTTGTTTGTGTTAATAATTTACTTGGGTTGATTGAAAACGTATTATTGCAGCATGTGTTACAATATTTGTGTGCATGTCAATACACCTCCATTATTTCACAGAATTTTAAAATTATATTTTCAATAATTCTGTTTCGAAGTTATGATATTGGATGGATCAAATATTTTCAATTCACATGTTGAGCTAGAACTGTGAGCCCATGTGGAGTTTAGTTTTCAGAATAGGTAGCCCTAGGTATTCTGAGGACCAATAATCTATTCATTTCTGAAGCTTTATAGTTTGCCAAGTTATATTTTTATCAATATGTCTCAATCCAGTCTTAACAACAATAGTTCTTCCTTTAGTTTTGTCATTCTCCTACTTTGAGATATTTTATAGCAATGCATGTAAAGAAAGCATGCTCTGTGTCAGGTATGTCTAACAATCAAAGACAAAATGACCAGACAAACACTCACTTCCCCGAGGTTTCCCGAGTCATAACCTGATTAATAGTAAAATAATGAATTAATGCTCTGCCTCTCTGGATACTGTGAAGTGTACCTTGTTGAGTCACTATTCAGAAGACCCTGCAACGTTTAAACTCAAAGCATCTAATGAATATCTAAAGTTCATACAACTAGTACAAAAGGTTTATAAGTCGAAGGTAATGTTTGTATCATTCTAAGGACCAGGATGTATAGATTAATAATCTGAACTACTGATTTAAAATTTTATATTCTTATTCTTTCTGTTACTACATGAATGAGAGAGGACACCAGATATGGTTAAAATTGTATCTGTTCTACTTGATATTCTCATAATCTAAGAAATGATAGTGCATGTAAAGAACAACACACAAATGCAGGAATAGTTTGTCAGAGAATAAAATATAAATGGTTTTAACATTATATTTTTCGGTGATGATATTTCCAATAATTTTTCCCTGTGAAATATGACTATTTATGCAGTTCTGTCAATATATAGTTCATGTGTAATATTATATTTTTAATTTGTCATTAAACTAGGTTATGACGGAGACGGACATACTTGTACCCAAAAAGATGTGTGTTCAGTGAACAATGGAGGATGCCACCCGTTAGCCTCCTGTGCTCCTGCTGAAGGTAATACAATAAAGCATGTTTCTTCTTAATCAATAATTGATACTAAAATAAATCTTCTAAAATAGCTTTCTGCTGTGTAATTCATGTAAACAGATAGCTAAATTAAATGTTAAAAACACATAATTGATTTTATCGATTTTACTGAAAATTGGGCAATGTATCTGCCAATGCAAATGTTTAACTGTGCATCACTCGTATTAACGTAAGTGAACAAACCAGACAAGTATGTAGAACAGGAGTGCTTGACATAACGCTCAAGTACAATAAATAACGTTTTTGCCATTTGTGGGCTGGAGTTTGACGCCTTTGGAGCAGATAGAAGCTGTCATTAAAAAACATTATTATTAAATCCATGATGTATCAGATATGACTAGTCTTCAGGAGGTTCTATAGAAAAGATATATGATATCTTGGGAATATTTTGTATTGATGGGACCTGGTGAGTAAGATATTTCATAGTTGTCCTTGTCATATGTTTATCTTTCAAAATATTTGTTCCATCTTCTGTTGAAGGAAACAGAAATCTTGAGGTCATAGACTGCACTGAACCTTAAACTATACATCATATTTAATGGCTTTGGAAGCTAGCTAAATCTGGCATTTTAAATCAGTTGATATCTGAAAGCTCACTATGACCTGCAATGGCTTTATTTGTACATCTTTGTTGTAGATGGTTTCTGGGTATAGAAAGCACAATAGCATTAAATTAACACTTTAGGAATATAGATGTATTCCTAACACTAATGTGTTCCTCTGACCTGACAGCCCCCTGGCTATGTAAAGGATTAAATAACACTTTATTCACTTACCCAATGCCAGCACTGATGTTCCTCGGTGCTGGGTCATGCTTAACCTCCTCTGATGTCAACCAATGAGTGCAGCTAATTTGCATGTGCTATGTTTACATCTGAAGGGTTAAAACCTGAGTGACCTGGCACCCAGACCACTTCATTGAGCTGAAGTGGTCTGGGTGACTATAGTGTCCCTTTAAAAAAAAGAAATGACGAAGGAAGAATAATAGAGAAATAAAACCACGTGGGTGTAAAAAAAAAAAAATTATATATATATAAATTGAAGAAAAAATGTTGTCTGTTAATTATATGTTTTTACATTTTTTATGACAGTGCCTCTTTAATATAATTTTTTTTTTTTAAATGCAAAAAAAGCAATTTTTAATGGAATGGTTCTACATTAACAAACAGTTTTATAAGATTACAGACACTCTCTGCCATGTATTTGTCACATATTCAAACACCATAAAATACTTTTATGTCCTATAATAGATGGTGTTTTGCCTATTTGTGTCTGTCCACCCGGTTACGATGGCAATGGGTATGGCTCCACTGGTTGTTTGCCCTTCAGTGACATCTGTGAAAAATACAACCCTTGTGTCAATGGAGAGTGCAAGGTATGTGCTAAGAACACTAAGACAAAGCAAATTAAATCTCATGAAATATTTAAAAATAGCACGTTGAAATAAATCTTGTGTACATCTATATAACATACATAGGTATATATATGTGTAACACAAAGCTCCATATTAGTAAAATATACTGTGAACATGCATAAAAACTAATTTGTACAACTAAAATAATTAAATTTTGTTCTATATAACCTAATCATAGACCTAAAATATAAGCCAGCCTATAAATTCTCAGCCAGCTTCAAGATATTGTGCCCTCCTTTGGCCATTTTAAATCTTGGAACGTCTTCTCCATCGATAGATATATTTTTTTATAACTACGTTTGCCAGATTCACCATGTGTTCTTAGACCTGTAATAATTCTATATGTTGGTAATGAATCAGTTTACTTATTAGTTACGTATTTTGACGTACTCAAAGTAAAAGGATATAGGACAAAGTGGTCCAAGTACATAATTTCTTTATCCTAGCTACAAATAGTACATACTAGAACGCAAAACTTTTCATATACCACCCAACAGCATATGTTAAAGGAAACATGGTAGGTCTCTAAACAGGCCTATCTGAAACTTTCATTGTAGAATAAAATATTTGTAAAATGAACAAAATATTATAACATTAAGTAGCATACTCCATGGGAAATAAGAAATATGTTTGTTTTTAAATATACTAAGATTTTATTTTTTTTCTTTCCTTTACGATGTTTATAGCCCAGTGTATCAGGCTATTTATGTAAGTGTAATTCAGGATGGAATGGTGTGAACTGTACGGATAACATCAATGAATGCTCCAGCAATCCTTGTCAGAATGGAGGCAATTGTACGGATGGGATTAACAGTTATGCCTGTAACTGCACAAACAGCTGGACTGGATTCCATTGTGAGATCCCCAAACAAGGTACCCCTTGCTGTGCCTATTTATTCATATGGTCATATATTATATATTGTCTGCTTGGGGCTGACTGAGAACTCTTACGCTTGGTCACACACTGACGTTCAACAGAAATACATCATCCACATTCACACACTAACACGCCACAAAAATATACTCAGATTCACATGCTGACACTACACATAATTACATTCCCACAATCACACACTGATGCTCCATAGAAATATACTCTTCACATACACACCGTGATCTTATACAGAAATACCCCGTCCACATTCACATTCACACACTACCACTGCACATAATTACACCCTTGACATTTACACACAGGCATTCCACACAGTGATGTCCCAAACGGTTCGCTGGCGAATAGTTCCTGGCGAACATCGCTTGTTCGCGTTCGCCATGGATGGCGAACAAATGCGCTGTTCGGTCCGCCCCCTATTCGTCATCATTGAGTAAGCTTTGACCCTGTACCTCACAGTCAGCAGACACATTCCTGCCAATCAGCAGCAGACCCTCCCTCCCAGACCCTCCCACCTCCTGGATAGCATCCATTTTACATTCATTGTAAAGCTGCATTCTTAGTGAGAGGAGGGACAGTGTAGCTGCTGCTGATTTGATAGGGAAATTGATAGCTAGGCTAGTGTATTCAGTGTCCACTACAGTCCTGAAGGACTCATCTGATCTCTGCTGTAAGGACAGCACCCCAAAAAGCCCTTTTTAGGGCTAGAACATCAGTCTGCTTTTTTTTTCTGTGTAATGTAATTGCAGTTGCCTGCCTGCCAGCCTGTGTGTCAGGCTCACAGCATATACTGTGCCCACTTGCCCAGTGCCACCACTCACTCACTGGTGTCACAATAGCTTGCATTTCAAAAAAACAAAAAACTTTTTTGACTGTAATATAATAGCAGTCAGTTTCCTTCACTAGTGTGCTTTTCAGGGCCTGCCCAGTGCCACCACTCATTCACTGGTGTCCCAATAGCTTGCATTTAAAAAAAACTAAACTTTTTGGACTGTAATATAATAGCAGTCAGTTTCCTTCACGAGTGTGCATTTCAGGGCCTGCCCAGTGCCACCACTCACTCACTGGTGTTCCAATAGCTTGCGTTTAAAAAAAAACAAAAACTTTTTGGACTGTAATATATAGCAGTCAGTTTCCTTCACGCGTGTGCGTTTCAGGGCCTGCCAGGGCACAGTGTCACACCAGTGCAACTCATATCTGGTGTAACAGTAGTGTACATTTTAAAAAAAAATATACAATTTTGACTGTAATAGATTGAATAGCAGTTAGTTGTCTGCCAGCGTGTGTGTCAGGCTCACAGCGTATACTGTGCCCACTTGCCCAGGGCCACCACTCATATCCGGTGTCACAATAGCTTGCATTTAACAAAAAAAAACTTTTTGGACTGTAATATAATAGCAGTCAGTTTCCTTCACACGTGTGCATTTCAGGGCCTGCCAGGGCACAGTGTCACACCAGTGCAACTCATATCTGGTGTAACAGTAGTGTACATTTAAAAAATAAAATACAATTTTGACTGTAATAGATTGAATAGCAGTTAGTTGTCTGCAAGCTTGTGTGTCAGGCCTACAGCGTCTACTCTGCCAACTTCTGCCACTGCACAGTGCCACTCATATCTGTTGTTACAGTAGCTTGCATGCATAGTACCACTAATCGGAAAAAAAATGACAGGCAGAGGCAGGCCACCCCGCAGGGACCGTTGTGGTCGTGGTGCTGTGATTCCCTTTGGCCCTAGAATAATGCCCAGTGTTCAGAGGCCACGTACCCTGAACTCGAGGAGTCTGACGAAGAGGAGTCAGAGGAGGAATGTGGCTTTGAGGAGGTGGAAGACCAAACACAGCAGGTGTCCCAGGGGGCTTGTTGTCACCTTTTGGGGACCCTTGATGTTGTATGTGGCTGGGTGGACAAAGAGACCTTCAATGACATAAGTGAGGACAAGGAACAGGACATGGCTAGCTTGGTATCCAACCTTGTGCAAATGGGGAGTTTTCGGTTGTGCAAATGGACTGTTTGCGGTTGTTTGCGGTGCGTTAAACGGGGAGTTTGGTCTGTCACTGTGAAGCGGGCGTAACCCTTACACTACCTGATCGATACAACATCATACCTGATGTTTTAAAGCACGTTATTCCAAACAATTTAGGAATGTTAGGTGATTTATGCCCTTTATGGATTAAAACCAGACTCTGCATCAACTATGTAATTTTCCATGGGAGTTTTGCCATGGATCCCCCTCCGGCATGCCACAGTCCAGGTGTTAGTCCCCTTGAAACAACTTTTCCATCACTACTGTGGCCAGAAAGAGTCCCTGTGGGTTTTAAAATTCGCCTGCCTATTGAAGTCTATGGCGGTTCGCCCGGTTCGCCAGTTCGCAAACATTTGCGGAAGTTCGTGTTCGCCGTTCGCAAACCAACAATTTTATGTTCGCGACATCACTAATTCCACATAAATAAACCATCCTCATTTACACACTGATGATAAAAATAGAGATACCCCCATTCACACACTGACTCTCTACACAAATACAACCCACATTAACACACTGATGCTCCACTCAAACACCCCATTCCAAATGATGGTGCTATGGATAGAGGGGTAATGTCATTATGTGTGATTATTTTTAAGGGTGCTGAGTAACTTGTTGGTGATGTGATTGCTTAGGTTTTGGGTGTTGGGATTTTAAGGTTGGGGTAATATGATTGAGGCTAGGGGTTTATGAGGACTATGGGAATGGGGGTTAGGTTAAAGTTGCACATACTGCTTCTGTATGTATACTACTAACTTTGTATAACAAGAATTGTATTTCACTATAATGTCATTATTTTGTATTTTTTGCAAATATGTATAATTCAGTGTTGCAGTAGATTATACAAATTGTAAGTCTTTGTTTTCTTGTTTAGCTTGTGGTGGGGATTTAAGTGGTTTATCAGGAACATTAAGTTACCCCAACAATCCAGGGGGGGAACAGTACGAACATCTACTGAGCTGTACCTGGGTAATCAGAACAGTCCCAGATAAGGTAAGGACAAATGCTTAATTCAATATAACTCTGCTCTATACTAATTTACCATCTAACTGCAATCACGGAAGTAACAATATAACACTTTTATTAAGCAATTATAGTCATATATGTGATGCTTATCTTGCCATCCAGTGCTTTTAGTGCCAGGTTTCAAGATTCATAGAAGTAAAAAAAAACAAACTATATTGAACAAGGGATTGGTGTCTTTACCTCTTAAACACAGTTAGTGTCCCTTTAAGCATTCCTCCTAACATCATGTTTAGGAGGAATCCTTAAAGGGACACTAAACTGTGTTTAAGAGGTAAACATCATGTTAGGAGGAATGCTTAAAGGGACACTAAACTGTGTTTAAGAGGTAAAGACACCAATCCCTTGTATTCAGCACAGAAGTAATATGAAAGTATATACAGGGCTCCCATCAGAAATTTTGGGGCCTTAGTTGACATCACATGCACATATGTACCCACATTTATGATTGGTAAAATAAAACACAGTCATTAAAAATCTTCAGGATGTTTTAAAAGAATGTGCAGTGCGTCATCCATTGATTTACTGATGATTCTCAAAATTAATCTACATTTTCTATCTTCAGAGTCTGCGTATTACTTTCGATCACTTCCAGTTGGAGGCCAGTGCTACATGTGACTCACAGTTCCTTGAAATTCATGATGGAGAATCGATGTTAAGTGTTAAGTTAGGAAAGTACTGTGGCACAAATGTTCCGAGAAATGTTGTGAGCTCCCATAATTCCTTGTTCCTCTGGTTTCAATCTCAAAGTAGCTCGAGTGCTGGACGTTTTCAGCTTTCTTGGGAATCCATAACTCCAGGTAAAATAGTTTCATCACATTTTTAGGATGTTCTAGGATGTATCAACATGTATAATCATTTTAGGATGTATCAACATGTTTACTATAAATATTGTTGCATAATATGTTGAATAGATTTTTAAACTTACAGGTATATTTTATGTAAAGGAGCACATATACAAGGTCACTTGGCCTGAGACAATGAAACCCTTCCAATCTATTGATACTTTTTCAAGACCAACCGCTTATCGTTACTGTGCAGGTAGTTACCAGCTGCCAGTACTGAAAGTCGGTCACTAGATAGCTGCTCATGACTCCCATTATTATGTATGGGAGCCATTACCCTGTACTTAGAAAAATGTTTGCAACCCTCTCACTATTCTTCACCATCTATCTCTAAATCAAAAAACATAACACCATCCTCTGAATGTTTATTCCCTATGCATCCAATTGGGACAAAATGGGCAGCTGGCCAGCCGTGACTTGCCTGTCACCAAGTGCCACACAGGGTGAAGTGCTCATGCTCTGGTGTGGGTTTCTGTGCTTTTGGAAGCAAGATACGAGCATGCCAGTGGTTGGTATCTAGCAATAAGTTATTGTAGCTGCTCCAAGCTGTCAGCTGTTATTAATAAAACAACTTACAGCAGCTACTTACCAACACATTTGTAAAAGAGACCAGAGTGTCAAATATCTTGCAAGCTGTGAAGAAATGACTCCGTTAATCAGGATTTCTACCTTTTGTTGTACAGTTAATTCACCAAAACCCAGCTGGAATTCGGCATATAGCTTTCATTTCTACCCTTCGGATGGATTCAGGCGAATTCCCTGTGTAAAATATAGATGGCCGCCATTTCGGCACTTTACACGTGGCCGCGGCCATTTTACGTGCGAACAGCGGTGTTTGCCCGTCAACGCGTGGAACTAAAATCGGATACGCAAACAGGCGAACACCGCTGAGACCTCCATACATCCAGAACTTCGCACGGGAACGACCGAATCACCGGCCGTTCGGTAGTTACATGCAACTTCGTATGGGGATTTCAACGATCACAAAGATGCGAATGGATGGCAGGGTTTTCGTCTCTTTTATTCGCCTAAACGGAGACCGACCGCAGGGCCAAAACTTATGGAACTATTTTCGGCTAGATGGTCCGTGCGGTCGGTCAAAACTTTAGTGTTCCATAACTCCCGAACCATCCATCCGAATGGACTGATTTTTTGATATGTTGTCCCCACAAATGAGAACTATCCAGCGGTACCCAATTTAAAGGTGTACCCCCTGTTTTTGGGGTACATCCAGAACTGTGGTAAAATAGTGCACGTTTTAATTAAGTTAACTGTTTATCAGAGGGGAGGGAGGTATGGGCTGTAACCTATACCTGATTGGTGATTTAATGCCTCCCCCTGGGTGTGTACTTCTTGTCTGTAACCTTAATAAAAAGCAGGCTGGAGATTCCAGACCTCAGATCTACTTGTATCCTGATTCTGGACTCTGACTGTTATTTGGGAATTCGTATGCTTTACCAAGGGGATTATCTTGGGAAGCTGTTATATTTCTTATGGACTTCATTGCTTAGAACTACCTTAGACGCTGACATTGCAGGAGGAATTATCAAAGCGGTTCAGCTATACTTGATTTCCTTACAACTGGTGGCAAGCGGAGGGATTCGAATCCCAAATGGACATTTCAAAACAAGCAAAGGAATGAATGGCTCAGCAGTACCAGCTACTTAAAAGAACCACGCTAAAGGACTTACTGGAAGCTCGAGGCAGAGTGGCAAGTAACAAAACAAAAGCCACGTTAATTGCGGAGCTAATGCAGAGCGATAATACCAGTAATATAGAGATGGATCAAGAGGAAGAAACCGTGATGCAAAAGGACATCCGATGGACACTCAGTTTATTGGGACCCAATCCATCCTCAGAGGCAATACTGCAGGTCGTAGCACAAGCCAGACAAGCGCAAAAAGAGTGAGATGACCGGGACAGATCGTCACAGGGGGATTTGCTACACTCCCCGAGAAGTATTGGGGAAATACCAAAGAAGGTAAATTATGCAGCGTTTAAATCATTTGTTGACAATGAAATGGAAATTGACAGTTACTTGCAAGACTTTGAACGTCAGTGTGCACTGGAGGGATTAGACTCCACCAAATGGGCTGCAGTCTTCAGCAGTAAATTGTCAGGTAGAGCAGCCGAGGCGCTGCGAGCAGTACCTGAGGGGGACATACATAATTATGAGAAAATAAAAGACATTTTGTTGGCCAGATATGCGGTAACTCCGGAGGCATACCGGAAAAAGTTTAGAGAACTGAGAAAGACTGGGAGAGATTCCCATACGGAATGGGCTTTTCGCCTGCAGCGGGCAGCCCGCAATTGGATGAAGGGCTGCCAGGCAACCACCCTAGAAGAAGCTTTGCAACTAGTGATACTGGAGCAATTTTTTAATCATACTGCAGAGGACATAAAAGACTGGGTAAAAGATAGGAAACCAAAAACCGTGGAGGAGGCCGCTAGGCTAGCGGACGAGTACCAGGATAACAGGAGGAAGGAGCAAGGGGCGAGCAGACCACCATTTAAGCCTCAGTACACAGCTCCAACAAACCCGGCTCCACCTAGACCTGCCATAGGTAACCCCCCACCGAACCCAGCAAACACACCTCGACCTCCTGCAGTGTGTCACTACTGCAAGCAACCAGGACATTACAAGTATCAGTGCCCTCGCTTAAACCGGGGAAGCTGGGAACGGCCAGCCCCACAACAACCCAGGGCAGCTGCTCACTGTGTGCAACAGGAACACACAGGCCCTGCCCTTAACCACGAAGAACAGTGGAGTGTATTACATGAGGTCAATCCAGTACAAGCTGGGGGGGACAACCGGGACCACCACCGCCAATGGATTACCGTCGATGGCGTGGGGGCCCGGGCGCTGAGAGACTCTGGGGCTACTTTGACTGTGGTACAGCCCCACACGGTCAGAGCACAAGCTCGCACCGGACGCACAGTCGCTGTAAGGGTGGCTGGGGGCGCTATTCACAAACTGCCCACCGCTAATATGCTTGTTGATTGGGGTTCCGGGTCTAAACAACTGGAGGTGGGGATTATGCAAGAACTGCCCGCCGAGGTTTTGTTGGGAAATGATGTGGGATGCCTAACCTCTCAACTAGCCCGAGACCCCCCTGCCGAGGCCTACCCGGTTACCACCCGAGCTCAAGCCAGACTGGAAGCTCCGCTGCACTCTGAGGAAAACCAGGTAAGAGTCGAAATACCCCCTTACCCGATCCCCCCGTACCCTTCTGGGATACCCCCCAGGGGTTTGAACAGGAACAGCGTACTGACCCCACATTAGAAGGCTATAGGAAGGCCGCGGCCGCTACCCCCGAGAACAACCCGCACGAAAAATTTGAATGGTATAAGGGGTTGCTATATAGGGTAACCGAGGGGGTGGGACAGGGGGCTACCCAGGTCATAAAAAGACAGTTAGTTGTGCCCCGTAAATTTCGGGCTGAGTTGTTAAAACTCAGTCATGACATTCCCCTAGCAGGACATTTAGGGGGCAAAAAGACCAGAGACAGGTTAACTCAAACCTTCTTCTGGCCCAGAGCTACCCAGGACCTAAAGTACTATTGTAGGACATGTGATGTATGCCAAAGGGTAGGAAAAAGGGGAGACCTTCGGAAGGCTAAGCTTCACCCCCTACCCATCATCGAACAGCCCTTCCACCGAGTAGCGGTGGATTTAATAGGTCCCCTCAGTCGCCCCAGTCCGTCGGGCAAAAAGTTTATCCTAACGGTGGTTGACTACGCCACTAGATACCCGGAGGCAGTCGCCCTCACCAATATAGAGGCCGAGACCGTGACAGAGGCCCTTATTCAGATATTCACCCGAGTAGGTTTCCCGCAGGAGATACTCTCCGATCGGGGGACGCAGTTCACAGCCACCCTGACGCAACAACTGTGGCAGAGCTGCGGAGTGCAGCCCCTGTTCAGCGCCCCGTATCATCCCCAGACTAACGGGCTCTGTGAACGTTTCAATGGCACTCTAAAACAGATGCTAAAAACTTTTACAGAGTCCCACAAGAATTGGGAAAAATTCCTTCCCCACCTTCTGTTTGCCTACCGTGAGGTGCCCCAGGCCTCCACTGGGTTTTCCCCCTTCGAACTCCTGTACGGGAGAAAAGTTCGGGGCCCACTGGAGCTCGTACGGGAACACTGGGAGGGCAATACAGATGAGGGGGGAGTCCCTATCGTCCAGTATGTCCTGGAGTTCCGGGACCGTCTGCGGGCCCTCACCGAATCGGTTCGGGAGAACCTGCAGGCGGCCCAGGAGGACCAGAAAAAGTGGTACGATAGGAGGGCCCAGGATAGAGTGCTGGACTTAGGGCAGAAGGTACTGGCTATGAGGCCCGTTAAAAAGGACAAGCTGCAAGCAGCCTGGCAGGGACCCTTTAAGGTAGTGGAACAGGTTAGCGAGACTACCTACATCGTGAGCAAATGCTCAGATGAAAGGCTGACCAAAGCCTTCCATGTGAACATGCTCAAACCATATTTTGAAAGGACAGAGGAGGTGGGCGCCGTGTGCGCCCCGCCACAGAGGATAGTGAAGGGCTACCCCTTCCTGACTTACTGGATACCACCCCCTGTACTATTGACCAAGTAAGCTTGGGTCAAAATTTAGACCTCCTGGAGAAAGGGAGGCTACTCAACTGCTGCAGGGATACCGAGAGATGTTTTCCGCTACCCCCGGCTATACCTCCGCTGCGGTCCACCGTGTGGAAACCCAGGGAGAGACGCCCCTACGGCAACAGCCATATCGGATCCCGGAAGCAGTACGTGAGAGTATGCTCACCGAGTTAAGGGATATGTTAAGGCTAGGGGTAATAGAACCCTCCCAAAGTCCTTGGGCCTCCCCGGTGGTACTAGTACCGAAGCGCGACGGCACTACGCGCTTCTGTGTAGATTACCGGAGGCTTAACGACCGTACCATAACCGATGCCTACCCCATACCTAGAATAGATGAGCTCTTAGATCGTATGGCGGGGGGGAACTACTTGACTACCCTGGACCTGTGCAAGGGTTATTGGCAGATCCCCCTGGAGCCTGCGGCCATCCCCAAGTCGGCGTTCGTCACCCCGTTTGGGCTATACCAATTCAAGGTTATGCCCTTTGGGATGAAGAACGCCCCGGCTACGTTTCAGCGGATGGCGGATAGGCTCCTGGAGGGGTTGCAGGACTTCGCATGTGCGTATCTAGATGATATTGCCATCTATAGCCGCACATGGGGAGACCATCTGGGTCATGTGTCCAGGGTACTCGAACGAATCCACCTCGCCGGGCTCACTTTGAAACCCGACAAATGTCACGTAGGCCTAGCCGAGGTCCAGTATCTAGGTCACCGGGTCGGCTCCGGTAGACAACGCCCAGAGCCCGCTAAGGTAGAGGCCATAGCTAACTGGCCCCAACCCCGGACCAAAACCCAGGTACTGGCTTTCTTAGGGACGGCCGGGTATTACAGGAAGTTCGTCCCAGAATATAGCGCCCTGGCCAAGCCCCTCACGGACCTTACCAAAAAGGCCCTTCCCAAACAGGTCGCCTGGACCCCAGAGTGCACGGACGCTTTCCAGAAGCTCAAAGCGGCATTGAGTGAGGCCCCTGTGTTGGCAGCGCCCGATTACACTAAACAATTTCTTGTACACACAGATGCCTCCATGTTTGGGCTGGGAGCCGTACTAAGCCAGGTTGGGGCGGATGGCATGGAACACCCGGTGGCATACCTCAGCCGTAAACTTTTGCCCCGAGAAGTCAGCTATGCCACCGTAGAAAAAGAGTGCTTGGCCCTCGTGTGGGCCCTCAAGAAACTTCAGCCCTATCTGTATGGGCGAGCGTTTACCCTTATGACCGACCACAACCCCCTGGTATGGCTCAACCGGGTAGCTGGTGACAACCCCAGGCTACTCCGGTGGAGCTTAGCTCTCCAACCATATAATTTTACCATGCAGTACCGTCCAGGTAAACAAAATGGGAATGCGGATGGTCTGTCCCGCCAGACCGAACTGGACACCTAAAAGCGTACTTTCATCGGACATCCCCAAGCCAACCCGACAGGGTCTAGGCGGGTATGCCGACCTATGGACTTATAGGGGAGCAGTGTGAAGAAATGACTCCGTTAATCAGGATTTCTACCTTTTGTTGTACAGTTAATTCACCAAACTCAGCTGGAATTCGGCATATAGCTTTCATTGCTACCCTTCGGATGGATTCAGGCGAATTCCCTGTGTAAAATATAGATGGCCGCCATTTCGGCACTTTACACGTGGCCGCGGCCATTTTACGTGCGAACAGCGGTGTTTGCCCGTCAACGCGTGGAACTAAAATCGGATACGCAAACAGGCGAACACCGCTGAGACCTCCATACATCCAGAACTTCGCACGGGAACGACCGAATCACCGGCCGTTCGGTAGTTACATGCAACTTCGTATGGGGATTTCAACGATCACAAAGATGCGAATGGATGGCAGGGCTTTCGTCTCTTTTATTCGCCTAAACGGAGACCGACCGCAGGGCCAAAACTTATGGAACTATTTTCGGCTAGATGGCCGTGCGGTCGGTCAAAACTTTAGTGTTCCATAACTCCCGAACCATCCATCCGAATGGACTGATTTTTTGACATGTTGTCCCCACAAATGAGAACTATCCAGCGGTACCCAATTTAAAGGTGTACCCCCTGTTTTTGGGGTACATCCAGAACTGGGGTAAAATAGTGCACGTTTTAATGAAGTTAACTGTTTATCAGAGGGGAGGGAGGTAGGGGCTGTAACCTGTACCTGATTGGTGATTTAATGCCTCCCCCTGGGTGTGTATTTTTTGTCTGTAACCCTAATAAAAAGCAGGCTGGAGATTCCAGACCTCAGATCTACTTGTAACCTGATTCTGGACTCTGACTGTTATTTGGGAATTCGTATGCTTTACCAAGGGGATTATCTTGGGAAGCTGTTATATTTCTTATGGACTTCATTGTTTAGAACTACCTTAGACGCTGGCATTGCAGGAGGAATTATCAAAGCGGTTCAGCTATACTTGATTTCCTTACAGGGAATATTCGAGAAATACCAAACATTGTTATATAGGGGAATATTCACTAAATACCAAACTGTTATATAGGGGAATATTCAAGAAATACCAAACATTGTTATATAGGGGAATATTCACTAAATGCCAAACATTGTCATACAGGGCAATATTCACTAAATACCAAACATTGTTATATAGGGGAATATTCACTAAATACCAAAATTGTTATATAGGGGAATATTCACTAAATGCCAAACATTGTTAAATAGGGGAATATTCGCTAAATACCAAACTGTTATATAGGGGAATATTCACTAAATGCCAAATATTGTTATATAGGGGAATATACACTAAATGCCAATGTAAGGAAATCAAGTATAGCTGAACCGCTTTGATAATTCCTCCTGCAATGCCAGCGTCTAAGGTAGTTCCAAGCAATAAAGTCCACAAGAAATATAACAGCTTCCCAAGATAATCCCCTTGGTAAAGCATACGAATTCCCAAATAACAGTCAGAGTCCAGAATCAGGATACAAGTAGATCTGAGGTCTGGAATCTCCAGCCTGCTTTTTATTAGGGTTACAGACAAGAAATACACACCCAGGGGGAGGCATTAAATCACCAATCAGGTACAGGTTACAGCCCCTACCTCCCTCCCCTCTGATAAACAGTTAACTTCATTAAAACGTGCACTATTTTACCCCAGTTCTGGATGTACCCCAAAAACAGGGGGTACACCTTTAAATTGGGCACCGCTGGATAGTGCTCATTTGTGGGGACAATATGTCAAAAAATCAGTCCATTCGGATGAATGGTTCGGGAGTTATGGAGCACTAAAGTTTTGACCGACCGCACGGATCATCTAGCCGAAAATAGTTCCATAAGTTTTGGCCCTGCGGTCGGTCTCCGTTTAGGCGAATAAAAGAGACGAAAGTCCTGCCATCCGTTCGCATCTTCGTGGTCGTTGAAATCCCCATACGAAGTTGCATGTAACTACCGAATGGCCGGTGATTCGGTTTTTCCCGTGCGAAGTTCTGGATGTATGGAGGTCTCAGCGGTGTTCACCTGTTTGCGTATCCGATTTTAGTTCCACGCGTTGACGGGCAAACACCGCTGTTCGCACGTAAAATGGCCGCGACCACGTGTAAAGTGCCGAAATGGCGGCCACCTAGATTTTACACGGGGAATTCGCCTGAATCCATCCGAAGGGTAGAAATTATAGCTATATGCCGAATTCCAGCTGAATTGGGTGAATTAATTGTGCAACAAAGGTAGAAATCCTGATGAACGGAGTCATTTCTTCACAGCCAAACATTGTTATTTAGGGGGGCTATTCACTAAATGCCAAAAATTGTTATATAGGGGAATATTCACTAAATGCCAAACATTGTTATATAGTGGAATATTCACTAAATGTAAAACATTTTTAAATAGGGGAATATTCACTAAATGTCAAAAATTGTTATTTAGGGGGAATATTCACTAAATGCCAAACATTGTTATATAGGGAAATATTCGCTAAATGCCAAACTACGTTATATAGGGGAATATTCGCTAAATTTCAAACTTTGTTATATAGGGGAATATTCACTAAATACCAAACATTGTTATATAGGGGAATATTTACTAAATACCAAACATTGTTATCCAGGGGAATTTTCACTAAATGACAAAAATTGTTATATAGGGGAATATTCACTAAATACCAAACATTGTTATCCTGGGGAATATTCACTAAATGCCATACATTGTTATATAGGGGAATATTCACTAAATGACAAACATTGTTATATAGGGGGAATATTCACTAAATGCCAATCATTTTTAAATAGGGGAATATTCACTAAATACCAAACATTGTAATACAGGGGAATATTCACTAAATGACAAAAAAAATTGATATAGGGGAATATTCACTAAATACCAAACATTGTTATCCGGGGAAATATTCACTAAATGCCAAACATTGTTATATAGGGGACTATTCACTAAATGCCATACATTGTTATCCAGGGTAATTTTCACTAAATGACAAAAATTGTTATATAGGGGAATATTTGCTAAATGTCAAACTTTGTTATAAAGGGGAATATTCACTAAATGCCAAACATTGTTATATAGGGGAATATTCACTAAATACCAAACATTGTTATATAGGGGACAATTAACTAAATAACAAACATTGTTATCCAGGGGAATATTCACTAAATACCAAACTGTATATATGGGGAATATTCACTAAATGCCAAAAATTGAAATTTCTTGAATATTCCCCTATATAACAATGTTTGGCATTTAGTGAATATTCCCCTGGATAACAAACATTATTATATAGGGGGAATATTCACTAAATACCAAACATTGTTATCCAAGGGAATATTCACTAAATGCCAAACATTGTTATATAGGGGAATATTCACTAAATACCAAAATTATTTATATAAGGGAATATTCACTAAATACTAAACATTGTTAAATAGGGAATATTTAAAGCAAATACCAAACTATTTATATGAAATTTTTCATGCAAACATTGTTAAATGAGGAATATTCGCTAAATACCAATCTCTTTGTTATATAGGGAATATTCACTAAATATAAATATTGTTATATATAGGGAATATACACTAAATACCAAACATTGTTATTTAGGGGGCTATTCACTAAATACCAGAAGAGTATTGTTATATAGGGGAATATTCACTAAATGCCAAACATTGTTATATAGGGAAATATTCGCTAAATGCCAAACTACGTTATATAGGGGAATATTCGCTAAATTTCAAACTTTGTTATATAGGGGAATATTCACTAAATGCCAAACATTGTTATATAGGGAAATATTCGCTAAATGCCAAACTACGTTATATAGGGGAATATTCGCTAAATTTCAAACTTTGTTATATAGGGGAATATTCACTAAATGCCAAACATTGTTATATAGGGAAATATTCGCTAAATGCCAAACTACGTTATATAGGGGAATATTCGCTAAATTTCAAACTTTGTTATATAGGGGAATATTCACTAAATACCAAACATTGTTATATAGGGGAATATTTACTAAATACCAAACATTGTTATCCAGGGGAATTTTCACTAAATGACAAAAATTGTTATATAGGGGAATATTCACTAAATACCAAACATTGTTATCCTGGGGAATATTCACTAAATGCCATACATTGTTATATAGGGGAATATTCACTAAATGACAAACATTGTTATATAGGGGGAATATTCACTAAATGCCAATCATTTTTAAATAGGGGAATATTCACTAAATACCAAACATTGTAATACAGGGGAATATTCACTAAATGACAAAAAAAATTGATATAGGGGAATATTTACTAAATACCAAACATTGTTATCCGGGGAAATATTCACTAAATGCCAAACATTGTTATATAGGGGACTATTCACTAAATGCCATACATTTTTAATTAGGGGAATATTCACTAAATACCAAGTATTGTTGTATAGGGGAATATTCACTAAATACCAAGCATTGTTGTATAGGGGAATATTCGCTAAATGGCAAACTTTGTTATATAGAGGAATATTCGCTAAATGCCAAATATTGTTATATAGGGGAATATTCGCTAAATGCCAAACATTGTTATATAGTGGAATATTCACTAAATACCAAGCATTGTTGTATAGGGGAATATTCGCTTAATGCCTAACATTGTTATATAGGAGAATACTCACTAAATACCAAAAATTGTTATATAGGGGAATATTCGCTAAATGTCAAACATTTATAATTAGGGGAATATTCACTTAATGCCAAACATTGTTGTATAGGGGATTATTCGCTAAATACCATACATTGTTATATAGGGGGCTATTCACTAAATGCCAAAAATTGTTATATAGGGGAATATAAACTAAATGGCAAACATTGTTGTCTAGGGGGAATATTCACTAAATACCAAAAATTGTTATATAGGGGAATATTCGCTAAATGCCAAACTTTGTTATTTAGGGGAATATTCACTAAATATCATACATTGTTATATAGGGGGCTATTCACTAAATGCCAAAAATTGTTATATAGGGGAATATTCACTAAATGCCAAACATTGTTGTCTAGGGGGAATATTCACTAAATACCAAACATTGTTATATAGTGGAATATTCACTAAATGTAAAACATTTTTAAATAGGGGAATATTCACTAAATGCCAAACTTTGTTATACAGGGGAATATTCGCTAAATGCCAAACTTTGTTATATAGGGTAATATTCGCTAAATGTCAAACTTTGTTATATAGGGGAATTTTCACTAAATACCAAACATTGTTAAATAGGGGAATATTCGCTAAATACCAATCTTTGTTATATAGGGGAATATTCACTAAATACCAAACATTGTTATATAGGGGAATATTCACTAAATACCAAACATTGTTATCCAGGGGAATACTCACTAAATGACAAAAATTGTTATATAGGGGAATATTCGCTAAATGTCAAACTTTGTTATATAGGGGAATATTCACTAAATACCAAACATTGTTATATAGGGGAATATTCACTAAATGCCAAACTTTGTTATATAGGGGAATATTCACTAAATGCCAAACTTTGTTATATAGGGGAATATTCGCTAAATGTCAAACTTTGTTATATAGGGGAATATTCGCTAAATGCCAAACATTGTTATATAGGGGAATATTCACTAAATACCAAACATTGTTATCCAGGGGAATATTCACTAAATGACAAAAATTGTTATATAGGGGAATATTCGCTAAATACCAAACTGTTATATAGGGGAATTTTCACTAAATACCAATCATTGTTAAATAGGGGAATATTCGCTAAATACCAATCTTTGTTATATAGGGGAATATTCACTAAATGCCAAATATTGTTATATAGGGGAATATTCACTAAATACCAAACATTGTTAAATAGGGGAATATTCGCTAAATACCAATCTTTGTTATATAGGGGAATATTCACTAAATGCCAAATATTGTTATATAGGGGAATATACACTAAATGCCAAAAATTGTTATATAGGGGAATATTCACTAAATGCCAAACATTGTTATATAGTGGAATATTCACTAAATGTAAAACATTTTTAAATAGGGGAATATTCACTAAATGTCAAACATTGTTGTCTAGGGGGAATATTCACTAAATACCAAAAACTGTTATATAGGGGAATATTCGCTAAATGCCAAACTTTGTTATTTAGGGGGAATATTCACTAAATACCATACATTGTTATATAGGGGGCTATTCACTGTGAAGAAATGACTCCGTTAATCAGGATTTCTACCTTTCGGATGTATTCAGGCGAATTCCCTGTGTAAAATATAGGTGGCCGCCATTTCGGCACTTTACACGTGGCCGCAGCCATTTTACGTGCGAACAGCGGTGTTTGCCCGTCAACGCGTGGAACTAAAATCGGATACGCAAACAGGCGAACACCGCTGAGACCGCTGAGACCTCCATACATCCAGAACTTCGCACGAGAACAACCGAATCACCGGCCGTTCGGTAGTTACATGCAACTTCGTATGGGGATTTCAACGATCACAAAGATGCGAACGGATGGCCGGGCTTTCGTCTCTTTTATTCGCCTAAACGGAGACCGACCGCAGGGCCAAAACTTATGGAACTATTTTCGGCTAGATGGTCCGTGCGGTCGGTCAAAACTTTAGTGTTCCATAACTCCCGAACCGTTCATCCGAATGGACTGATTTTTCGATATGTTGGCCACACAAATGAGAACTATCCAGCGGTACCAGATTTAAAGGTGTACCCCCTGTTTTTGGGGTACATCCAGAATTGGGGTAAAATAGTGCACGTTTTAATTAAGTTAACTGTTTAACAGAGGGGAGGGAGGTATGGGCTGTAACCTATTCCTGATTGGTGATTTAATGCCTCCCCCTGGGTGTGTATTTCTTGTCTGTAACCGTAATAAAAAGCAGGCTGGAGATTCCAGACCTCAGATCTACTTGTATCCTGATTCTGGACTCTGACTGTTATTTGGGAATTCGTATGCTTTACCAAGGGGATTATCTTGGGAAGCTGTTATATTTCTTATGGACTTCATTGCTTAGAACTACCTTAGACGCTGGCATTGCAGGAGGAATTATCAAAGCGGTTCAGCTATATGGGATTTCCTTACAACTGGTGGCAAGCGGAGGGATTCGAATCCCAAATGGACATTTCAAAACAAGAAAAGGAATGAATGGCTCAGCAGTACCAGCTACTTAAAAGAACCACGCTAAAGGACTTACTGGAAGCTCGAGGCAGAGTGGCAAGTAACAAAACAAAAGCCACGTTAATTGCGGAGCTAATGCAGAGCGATAATACCAGTAATATAGAGATGGACCAAGAGGAAGAAACCGTGATGCAAAAGGACATCCGATGGACACTCAGTTTATTGGGACCCAATCCATCCTCAGAGGCGATACTGCAGGTCGTAGCACAAGCCAGACAAGCGCAAAAAGAGCGAGATGACCGGGACAGATCGTCACAGGGGATTTGCTACACTCCCCGAGAAGTATTGGGGAAATACCAAAGAAGGTAAATTATGCAGCGTTTAAATCATTTGTTGACAATGAAATGGAAATTGACAGTTACTTGCAAGACTTTGAACGTCAGTGTGCACTGGAGGGATTAGACTCCACCAAATGGGCTGCAGTCGTCAGCAGTAAATTGTCAGGTAGAGCAGCCGAGGCGCTGCGAGCAGTACCTGAGGGGGACATACATAATTATGAGAAAATAAAAGACATTTTGTTGGCCAGATATGCGGAGGCATACCGGAAAAAGTTTAGAGACCTGAGAAAGACTGGGAGAGATTCCCATACGGAATGGGCTTTTCGCCTGCAGCGGGCAGCCCGCAATTGGATGAAGGGCTGCCAGGCAACCACCCTAGAAGAGGCTTTACAACTAGTGATACTGGAGCAATTTTTTAATCATACTGCAGAGGACATAAAAGACTGGGTAAAAGATAGGAAACCAAAAACCGTGGAGGAGGCCGCTAGGCTAGCGGACGAGTACCAGGATAACAGGAGGAAAGAGCAAGGGGCGAGCAGACCACCATTTAAGCCTCAGTACACAGCCCCAACCAACCCGGCTCCACCTAGACCTGCCATAGGTAACCCCCCACCGAACCCAGCAAACACACCTCGACCTCCTGCAGTGTGTCACTACTGCAAGCAACCAGGACATTACAAGTATCAGTGCCCTAGCTTAAACCGGGGAAGCTGGGAACGGCCCGCCCCACAACAACCCAGGGCAGCTGCGCACTGTGTGCAACAGGATCACACAGGCCCTGGCCTTAACCACGAAGAACAGTGGAGTGTATTACATGAGGTCAATCCAGTACAAGCTGGGGGGGACAACCGGGACCATCACCGCCAATGGATTACCGTCGATGGCGTGGGGGCCCGGGTGCTGAGAGACTCTGGGGCTACTTTGACTGTGGTACAGCCCCACACGGTCAGAGCACAAGCTCGCACCGGACGCACAGTCGCTGTAAGGGTGGCTGGGGGCGCTATTCACAAACTGCCCACCGCTAATATGTTTGTTGATTGGGGTTCCGGGTCTAAACAACTGGAGGT